CTTTACAGCATTTTTTCATACCTGCCTAAAACTTTTGCACAGTACTGTATATGTGGGACAGAATTTCCACAAACAATTCTTTAATCTGTAGAAGATTCTGAACGGGGCTGTGTTCATCTAACCCAACTATGTAAATTCACAGATGAACACTCAAAGAACCAGAGATAGAGATAAGTGTTAGTATTACTTATCCCTTATAAATGCTCTTGTTTGGCCTTTTTTTCTTATCCTGTATAGTCAGCCATATGCTAGAAGCTTTCCTTAAAACCTACTGATGTTCTCTATGAATCCCAAGACTTTGTGCATATCTGTAGTCCAGTTTTCTTGACTGTGAACTGCTGTCTTTCATTCAAAGCCAATTTGCGTTTCCAACCAATACCTTTCTTTACAACAAATGTTAATTAACTGCAATTAGTGGCAGAGATGGAATGTTTCACTGAAAAGGGTGTGTAGGCAAAGGAGAGAAAATAACACATTCGTTCATTTTCCCACAATAGAAGTGATGAAATAAAGTGTCTCAAACCTCCTAAAATCAGCTTGAATGAAATCAAGTGAGCGGTTAAGCTGTTAGTCGCCAAACTTCAGTAACACAAGATCAACCTGTCAAATGAGTCATAACAGTATTCATGTTGATAATGGGCTGATGTTATCATAGCTATGGTTGAGATTATCATACACACAGACAAACTCTGTAAGCCTGGCATACAACTTTGGTGCCTGTCCCACATAAAAAGTCTGGTATTTTGTAGGGCACACCTACAACCAGGTAGACTTAAAGGCATGCAGGAGATACAGCTCCAACCTCTGGTGCCCAAACAAGGAAATGTAAGGATTGAAACTTCAGGCTGGTTTAATTTAACGCTGCTTCCCCAGTAGCCAACCAGACCTTCTAGGAAATTAAAAAGCAGGATATGAAAATAATAGTCATGTTCTGGTCCCACAATAACTGGCATTGAGAAGAAAATGGCCTCTCAATATCAACCCCAAAGGTTAATTTAGTCCCCATGATGTATCCTTTACAAATTTGTCAAATGGCCTTTTAAGGGTACCTAACTTAGTTGCTAGCAGCACTTCCATACACCCTCACTTTAGATGTTTTCTCCATCTTGTGCAGCTGTACAGCATTCACAATATTTCAGATGCAGGCTCCATATAAATTCCAGTAAAAACCAATTTTCTTATTTTTAATTCTCTTCCTAGCCAGCACTGATTGATTTGATTTGAAGGATATCAGGTGGTGTCTTGGCTCCAGTCTGCTGTCCATCTCAATCCACCAGCTGGGCCAGTCCATTTTTAAGCATCATCACTAAAAGCAGCTGCAAAGCCTTACCCTTTCCCAGGGAGCCTGCTAGATGGCACTAGCACAACACTCTGGAGGATGCTTCATCTCACAATAACACTTCATCCCCATCTAGTGGCATAATGCTGGGAATTTATTACTGGGACATTTATTTTTGCAGACAAAAGATCGTCATTGCAATTCAGTACCAATAACTTTGTTCTTTTTCATTTTCTAAAATACCCCCCTCCTCACAATCCGTATGTTTAGAAATGTTTCCAGTATACTCGCTTTTTCATAGAGCTAATCTAGGAGAGCCAGTGCAGTCCAGGGGTTAAGGCATTGGATTAAGAGAGGGAGATCCAGGTTCCAGTCCAACCTACATCCCAGGATTGCTGTCATGGGAAAATGGGAGGGGGGCGTGTAGGTATGCCACTTTGAGCTCCTGAAGGAAAGGCAAGATAAGAAACAAATAAATATCTTGAGTGGTTTGTATGTAGGAAAGGGTCATTAAAGTGAATTGGGAGATGGAGGCGGTTAACAGGTGAATGGCTTAATGACTTTAGCCCTAAGCAGCACAATACCTTGGGCCAGTTCTCATATGCAGCTATGATCTGAAATCACATGTTCTGCTAAGCCATTGTCTCAGGCTTGATCAAGGAAGCAAGAGTCACACAGACTTCAGTAAAAAATCTTGGAAACTGGAGCAGAACCTTCAACCCTTTTTTATTACTGATTTTCTTAAGGCAGTGTCTCTTTGTCTGTTTTGTATTTTTTTCTTCCTGAACTGCCATTTATGAGATAAGCTAATTGCAAATTCATCTCCCCATCTATTTGTGGTTTCTATCTAGGATTCCTTCCATTTCTTTCTCACCCTTCTCACAATTTCTCACATGGTTTCCATAGCCATGATTTAATAAATAAGCCCAAATGGCTGGATTCACATTATAAGTTGAAACCAGACTACCCTGTTCTGGCTCACACCAACATAGTGAGTAGATTCTCACACCTTGCTAAGCTGTGGTTTGTTTCAACAACAATTTGTTGAATAAGCCACAGCAGCCTGTGGATACATACTGATATGCCATAAACCAGTATGCCTGGATTCACACACAGTGGCTAAAGCAAAAGCAATTACATTAAGTTTTAGCACATTGACATCTGCAGGGGACCGAGTAAGGGAGATCATTCTAAAATTTGTAACATGTGTTTGATGATGTCATAATGGCTTAATTATGTTTCAGTAATGATTCAAACCATACAGCTGCTGACCAAGCCTCATGCAAGTTTTACAAATCTACATATCTAACAGGTGGTAGTTTTAGTCCACAGAAGAGAAGGAACAGAAAAAGAACTCTCTGAGGATCTTCAGCTCATCACACTTGACTGAATGATTTGTACATATCACACAGTCACAGAAGACACCTTGTACTACTTGGTAACCACAAACCCTACCATGAAGGATCCTACCAAAATTGTTTCTGTTGACAGGGGTGATATAAGAAACTTCCCTTTGGGAGAAATAAGAGATTTAAAGCAGGAACAAACACAATGAAATGTTTTTTTAAAAGTTCAGTTGGGCTAAAAAAGGGATTGCTTTTTTAAATTTTTTCTCGTAGCCTCAGAACAGCCATTGCTTTACACAAAAGTATACGGTACAGATATATCTATGAGAGGCAAGGGAGAAAGTAACAAATGGTACATCATAATGTTATGATACAAAAACCATGACTTACATAGTTTTGTCAGATGTGAGTCCTTCAGGGTGGGATATGCATTATGATGTCACCACACACATGTAATCATTCTGATGTGACCTCAGCTTGCTGCAGACAGCTATTATAACTGTATCCCCCAAAAGCACAGAGTTTATTTGTAAAATATCATCTCCTAGTCCAGCTTTCTCCAACCTGCTCCTTCAGATAGAACAAGCTGGCAACTGCAATTCCCAGCCAGGGTGGCCGATGGAGTTGTAGCCCCAAGAAAGCAAGGCAGCGCTAAGTGAGAGAAGAAGTAAAGCTGGGGAGAAAATCTTTAACTGCTGCAATGACAGAAACCAGAGTCAAGAGGAAGTCAAGCAAAAACACACCTGGCAAAAATAAAGAAAATAGGGCAAGCCATCATCTATATACATGTTTGCTCTCTCCTCCCCTGTTCCCCTCTGCTTTCATTCTGACAACAGCTTCTTTCATCTCTCCCCACCACTTTTCAAGTGGCTTTACACACATTCTAAGGGGTCTTCTGTTCATGACTGAGACAAAAGTGGGTAAACTACGGGCTCCCCACCATCATCTGAATGAGATATTGGATTCCTCCTCATATTCAAGTTAAAGTACTATCTGGTGGTTCTTAAAATGGCAGAAAGCTATACCAACATAACATTTTCTGTCCCCCGCCCCCCAGCCTGGTGAACTCTACCACAGGCACAACACAAGCAAATTGTGCTGTCCTTATTTACAATGCAGAGGGCACATGAAGGACAAGGATTCATGGATTCCCTCAGCTTTGTTTCCCTGTCCCCCTGTCAGCCAGAAAATACCCACCAATCAATCTCCTTAACATGGGGTGGGGGGGAGGAGGTAGGTTTTGACAGATAGCTAGACTGGTGGGTTTAGCCATCAGTCAAAGCTCCCTTTGGTTTGGTGCAAATATTTTGCATGGGCAAGTTCAAATGATCAGCTGATGCCAATTGATAGTTGCACTCTTTTTGGATGGGGTTTAGCATTAAGCCCAAGTTCAAACAATAGCTGATAGGCATGGGGAGAATTACTATGAAACACTGGGGACAGAAAGCTGGCTCTTTCTTTCCCATTTCACTATTCAGCACCTAATCCACCAGTGTGTTCTTCAGTGGCTTTTAAGCCAGTCCAGTTTTTCAAAACAGCTTGGAGACCTGGTGGACATGGAAAAAAGCTAGGCTTGAAAAGAACTGGACTCTCCTCCTGTGTAAAAGACAATGGCTGTGGAAGATAGTGCTCAGAGGGAGCAGCCATGCCTGTCCCGGACTAGACTGATCAATAGGGGCTAAGCTGATCCCACCCCCTGGGATCCCTTGACTACACCATGGACAGAACAGTCAGTAAAGCACATCAGACTGTAACCAGATTGTAAAACCTGGGTGGAGATAAGGGGAAAACACTATTTTAACACTGAAAACAGCAATGGATTACTTAAAGTTGTTTAAGATCGGGACCAGATGAAGGGAACATATTATGCAGATTTATCCGAAAAAAGAAGTTGCTGGAGAATATGCTGAAGTTAGATGGAAGTGAGGAAAGGCTCATAGAGAACTTTGGTTTGGGTTTTGGAATTGTCACACAGCATTAACATTCCCTAAATGCCCCAAAGTGTGTGTTGTTACTCAGTGAAGTGCTGAATTTTAAGTGTCATGCAAAAGGTAATGTACCATTTTATTTCTCTTGGGGCATTGTGCTGGCTCTGATCCCACAGTGATTAACAATATCATTCATAAAAACAATAATAATTTGTGCTGGCCACAAGATAAAAAAGCCCAAACCCAAAGACTGAAGTTTTTAGTCCAAGTGAGAGTTTACACCAGTGATTCTCAACCTTGGCACCTTGAAGATGTGTGGACTTCAACTCCCAGAATTCCCCAGCCAGCCATGCTGGCTGGGGGGTTCTGGGAGTTGAAGTCCACACATCTTCAAGCTGCCAAGGTTGAGAATCACTGGTTTACACCAAGAATGTGCACTTCCCTCTTTAAAGGGCCACACAGCTTTGTGCAGTGCTTCAAGAGCCAGACTGCAAAGTGAGTGGGGCCAGGATCTACTGGAGGTGTTCCAGGGCTGCTTAAAATCCACTGTCTGGTTTAAGGCACCCGTTTCACCCCTTAATTGGGTGTGCTTTGGAAAGTAGAAAATGAGTACTGCTGAGCTGAATGTGGCCATTAGGATATGGTTTTTGCATCCCAGCATAATGAATTGGTGCAAGTTTTTGAGTGTCCAAGAACTTTTCATTGGGTGAGAAGTTTAGAAGTGAAATCAGAAAGGATGGGAAGAAAAAAACATGGTTCATATTTGTATCATGTCTCTCTACAAAGTCACATTCTCCGGTGGAGTCAGGGAGAGTCTCCAGACATGCAAATTTTGTTTTATCAGTTATGGAGATTGTGTTGAGTTGCAGCAGGGACTCCCCCACAGTTAGGTGGAAAGAAGAAATAAAGGTTTGTGTTGTGCAAGGTGATGGTGCATAGTGAATCTTGCTAGCTCCCAGGCAAAATGAGGGGCTGAAACTTTTCTGCAGGAAAGCTGAATGGACTTCATTACAGTCAGTGCCTGGCAACATTAAATGCAGGTAGTACTAACAGGTAACTATATCAGAATCACATGTAATCAGATTCATTAATTTTATAAGAATATTACAAAGTATTCACTGCTATTTCATGTATAAAAAGTTTACCCCTGTTCCCATGCAGTAAACTGAATAACTGATCACACACTTATTCACTAAGATACGTTTTTCTTGGGTATAGCTTCGGCAATAAACTTTATAACATGTAGTTATCATAACATGCTATGATAGCATGTTAAAATCCACTGACTGTGTTCCACAGCATATTAAGCAAAATCCAAACAACTGATATTTTCACCATCTCCCTGGTAATATCAGCATTCAGAGAATAGTTCTCTGGATTGGAAAGATTGGTCCACAGTAGTGGTGGGGTCTGTACACAGCTGTCTTACCTACAAACCCAGTGTTTTAGCCACTAGACCAGCCTTTTCTCCAATCTGTGAGCTTTATAACCCTAAGCCAACATGTCCTCTACCTGTACTAACTGAGAATGGAGTTGCCTTCCACCTGCTCTGGAAGACAGTAGGTTGGGGGAAGGCCAATCTGAACCATATTGATTCTTTCTCTATTGAAACCCACTTTATAGTTATTGAGCTTGGATTCAGACTAAGTTAATTAATAAAGTCTGACTGAAGTCAATGGGACTTACAGACAACTAATCTGAACCATTGATTTCCATTATACAAGTATTTAAATTCAATTAATGTAGATCTGACTATTGGGTGGATTATAAAGTTAATTGAACTTGCAGAAATGGCAAAGCTGACCAGTTTGGACAAAGAAAAAGCAACAAAGTTTTTGTTTGTTTGTTTTTTGGAAAGACTGAAAACCTTACATGGATTTTTTGCTGAAAGAAGAAAAGATTGAATTGATGATTTTGGGATTTGGGGGTTAAAAAGGGATGAAGAGGATGGGAAAAAGATTAAGATGATATAAAGAAAGTATAATTGTGTCTTTTCTTTTTTCTTTTTATTTCCTTCTTTTTTCTCTTTATCTTACTTTCTATCTCTTTTTTGTTTTGCATGTTTTTACTATATTGAAAAATTCTAATAAAAATATATTTTAAAAAATAGATCTGACCTACTGGGAATATATAGATAGAGTTATTTATTGCCTTCAAATCAGTCTTAACTCCTGGCAATTGCCTGAACAAGCCCATGCAGTTTTCTTGGCAATGTTATTGGACGGGATTTGCCCTTGCCTTTTTCCTAAGGCTGAGAAAGAGGGACTGGCCTAAAGTCACTCAGTTGGCTTCCACGCCTACGGTGGGACTAGAACTCACAGTCTCCTGGTTTCTAGTCTTGTGCCTTTTAACCACTACACCAAACTGATTAGGCTGTCATAGATTAAGAATCATGAAACCTGGAGAGAAAAGTATGCTTGCAGATTAGATATTTTATAACTTCCTGATAAAACTTTTGGTGCATGTTGATAGATCCACTTCCTGCAAGTGGTTTTCTTTTTTCTTTTTATTTTTTTTCAGAAAAAAATCTAGAAGATAATAGAAAGGCATATTTTGCAAAAGCAGGTGTGTTGTGGTTAAAGGGAAACGCAAATAGCAGTAAACTGCTAAAAGCTCTGAGTGGTTTTTTTTTAACCCTGACAGATAAAGAAAAG